ATGCGTGGGGACACGGGGCGCAGTGCACTGGGAGTGAATGGGGCGCAATGTGTGGGGACACGGGGCGCAGTGCCCTGGGAGAGCTGCAGCAGAGGAGGTGCAGGCACCACTTTGCTGCTCCCGCAGCTGAACGGAAAGGGGATCCCCCTCCTGACGGCCGAGGGGGGCGGCAGCAGCTCAGGTCCTGCGGGAACGGGGGATTTTTTAGGAAACGGGGCGATTTTCAGAGGGAAAAAACCGCTGCCAGCAGGCGGTGCCACAGAGGGGCCGCGCTGAGGCGGGAAGCTGACAGGGCGCCGCCATTAGGCTGAGCTCTCGCGAGAGCTCCCGAGAAAACGCGCGCGGGAGCAGCACTGGCGGCCGCCATTTCCTCCGCGCAGTTCTCGCGAGAGCTCCAGGAGTGCGTGGCGACCGCGCTCACGCGAGAGTTCGCAAAGAGTGAGGGCGGGGCGGCGCTCTCGCGATATTTTTGGGGGGCAGGGGGGCAGGAGGAGCGGGCTCTCGCGAGAGTTCTCTGGTAGAGGCGCCATTTTCTCCGCCGTCAGGAGGAGGCGCTGAGGAGCGGGCGGGACTGAAGGCGGCAAAGAAAGCCGAAAACGACGAAAGGAGGCCGGCAGAAACAGGGGAGCGGAGTAAGGACGGGAGAGAACCGCAGTCTGGCGGCTATTAGGCTGACTCAGCTCCCCCAGGCGGGAGGAGGCGCTGAGAGGGGAGTAAAGCAGCGCTGTGTGGGGCAGCAGCCGTGGATTCACCACAGGCGACGTTCAAACCGTCTGTCAGCCTTGAGGAAGAGCCCCAGGCACACCGCAGGAGACGTTCGCCTCAAATAAGCAAAAATAAAGCGCCTTTCCTGCTGGGAACCCACAGCCTGAGGAGTTTTCCAGGTTTTGCTGCTGATGGAGCACCGCCCATTGGAACACCCGAGGGAGCGGATGGTTTTCATCCAGAAACACAGGAATATGGTGGGATGTTGGTGTTGTTATGGGATCCCTGTGTTCTTCAGCCAATGCACGGACACAGATCTTCACTCATCTCCATAGAACAGATCCCTGCACGGCGACCATCCCTTTCTGCTTTCACAGAATCACAGAATGGCCAGGCTTGGAAGGGACCTCAAGGATCATGAATATCCAACCCCCCTGCTACATGCAGGGCCACCAACCTTCCCACCTAATGCTAGACCAGGCTGCCCAGGGCTCCATCTGATCTGGCCTTGAACACCTCCAGGGACAGGGCATCCAATCTCTCCTCATTATCGGCATCCAGCAGGAGCTCACGGAGCTCTGGAGGCAGGGCTGTACCCAGGATGTCATCTGAAACTTCTCCCACCTGAATAGTACGATTCTATGAGGATGGGAAGGGATCAGACCTCTGGTGCCGTCCATCAGCTCTCCCACACACCATCCATCCTCATCCGTGTCTCCAAGGATAGAAATGCTTTCTTCAGCCCAGCTCGTTGTCTGAGTTCTCATTAGGGTCTCAGAAGGATTGTTGCTATGACAGGATAAGAACTTTGGAACTACTGGTGATATTCATCCTGGAGATTGCAGGTTGCCGATTGCCATCTCTCACATAGGGTATAAAGGAGGGGTTCTCAGGCAATGTGAACACCACAAACCTTTTGGGAAGTGTCCCTGTGGTGCTTCCACACTGATGGACACCTGAAGTCCACCCTGCGAGCTGCAGCTCCTGGCTCTTCAGCTCTGGCTTCTCTGCCTTTTGAAAGGAAGAGATGCGTTTACACCCCAGTTTCTCTTAACCAGCACTTATATCTGTGCTGCAGGATACCTGGAGGGTGTTCGCCTTAATGGAACGAAAACAGAGTCCTTCCTCACAGGCACCTGCAAACCTTATGTACCAAAACAGCACATAAGTGTAGAGTGGGGATTCTCAGGCAACATGAACACCACAAACCTTTTGGGAAGCATCGCTGTGCTGGGACACCAGGAAGGCGGTACGGGAGGGAGCTCTCATGAAGAATCTCCCTGAGCAGAAAGGAATTAATGCCTGAGCTGCAGCACAGGATGAATATATGATCTAGGTGAGTGGGAACAATTTATAATTGTGATGAGGTCAGTGCTGTGATCACATCTTCATCCTTATTTTTTTTTTTTTTCAAGCTGTCATTTCAAGACCACATGAACAACATCAAGCCCGGAATTATGGCGCTTACAGCAGCTTGTGAAGAGCTGAAGGAGACTGAAAGGTTTAGTAAGCTTTTAGAGTTGTTCCTTGGAAATGATGTGATTGCTGGCAGCAGAAATGAATGGCCTCGTGGTTTTAACATCACGGTTCTTTGCAAGGTTACAGACACGAAATCAACAGATTAGAGGAGAACCTCAATGCATCTGCTGGCAGAAGTCTGTGAGGAGAATTCCAGAATTCTTAACCTTCACAGATGATCTGCAGCATGTTGAGGACGCAGGTAAAGCTTCAGACAAAGCTCTGAAAAGCAACTGACTCAACGAGCAAACAGAGAATGACATAATTTCCCTAAAACAGAAGATGAGCATGGTAAGTTTGTAGAGATGAGAGTCTTTGCTGAGAGTGCATGTGAACAGTATGAGAAAAGATCCAAAATGTACAACAGCACCATGAAATTGTATGGGAGTCACGTTTGGTGCCACAGAGTGCACTGGGAGGCCCTGTGGGGAGCACTGGGAAGGCAGTAGAGCTCTGGGAGGAGGATTGTAGGTCAGTGCCAGCTGCTCTGTGCCTCTGAACAGTTCTTGCAGGTTCTTCACTGGTCCATGCAGGAGTGCTGCTGCTTTCCTGCTGTTCCTGTTGTTGGGCATTGCATGGTTTCAATCCATTCCCTATCACTGCTGGGAAAGTGACAGCAGATAAAAGCATCAAACAACAGCAAAGAGAGACTGAAAAGGTGGAAACAAAACCTGTGCCACTGTGCAGACGTAAATGAAACAGGACAGGGAGGAGATGTGGCCCGGTGCTTCACAGTGGAGATAAATAAATCACTGCAGATGGATCCAACAAACCACGTGGGAAAATAAAGGAGAGCTTGGAGCACCTGGGTGTCCCTGTGCCTTCCCCACCCCCTGTACCACCCGAGGCTCTGCTCCTTGCTGTGCTTTATGGAAGGGTGCAACCAAGTGGAAGAGCAAACGCCCTCAGAGCTGAGATCCGTACGTTTAATACCACGCACTCCTCGAAACATCACAGCCACCGTTCACAAAACATGAGACCACCACCTCACATTGCTCCCTGTTTGCAGCCCAGCACAGAACCAAAGGAACGACCTCATCATTGTGCTCCACACAAACACAACACCGTTCCTCAACGCACTGCTGCTCCACGCGGACTCCTCAAACCACAGCACCACGTGGAGGCTCCGGGCGGGCGCTGT